GACATCACAAAGTGCATTTTGCATGATAGGTCCCCTTTAATTTATATTTTCTTGTGTCTGACGCGTTGTGAGAATGAACGTGCATATATATTTACTTGTGTCCGCGAGCGTGACACGCATTGCAGGCCGCAAGTTAACCGCAAGTTTACCTTGACTTTCTAATGCTTCTAATGCCATTTTTGCCGAGGTTCAAGGCATTGGCTACAGACAAACAGTGCCATTTCTCCCACTAGTTCAAGCCATCATACTGTATGTATGTATTGAATGTGTGTGTGTATACAGGGGCGCCGTTTACCGACAGGCAAGTGCTTGGACCAGAAGGGGGCCCCCAAATAAAGTAGATTAATCCAATCCAATCCAATCCAACTTTATTTATATAGCACTATAAGTGCTGTACAGAGAGATACATAACATATAAAATCACACAGCTCAGCTCACAAAACATAAAATTAATTAATTAATTCAAAATAAAAGATACAAACCAGAATAAACGTAACAATTTAAAAATTAAAAAAAAATAAAGACATAAAAAAAGATGAAGAAGGTCCACAGCAACGACAACATGAAACACCCTTTAATTTACTGCAACGACATGTCGGGAAACCTCCTCAAGGGGGCCCCATGCATAGTGCGCCGAAACTGCTTCATAATTTCAATTTCGTCGCTCCGCTCCGGGGGTGGGGGGGACTTTACTGGCATTGATCCGGACCATTGACCTTGTATAAAATTCACAAGTGGACCTTTAACAAAAAAGTTTGAGTACCCCTGCCTTAAAGTAACCCAAGTAATGAGATAATTGTGTGCTAAGTAACTGCAATGTAGCTTCTGTTATCAAAAGTAACCTGTTACATTACTGCATTACAGACAGATGTAATCTGATTACAGTAATGCGTTACTTTTTAGCGTGTTACCCCCAACACCGGTGACTCTGATGTTGTCATCCATGTTTTCTGCCTTACGTGAGATCAGGATTATTCCCTGACCACAGCTGCATGAAAACCAAGATTTATGTACTATTACGTTTTTTACAATTGTTAACACACTACAATGACACGAAAAACATAATTAAATTAAAACTGCGGTCACAGAAGTGCGCGCAGTGATGAGCGGGCCCTCGCATCCGTGTGTCTGTCGGGGAGGGCGGCCGGTCGTCCCCGCGTCAAGCAGACGCGCGCGAGTCCTCCGAAATGAGAAACTCATTTCTATAATTTTCGCGTCCCAAACTCCCAGGTCCTCCGGCAGCGACCCGGAAACGGATGTCGGCGCGCCGTCTCGAAGGAAAACACATTTCTCTAAAGGCTCGTCGAGGATCGATTATCGAGGAGGCTGTCTGGAGGAGCAGTAACCGAATACACTGATGTATTCTCCGGAGTCGATTTCAGCCAACAGTGATGTTTAAAAGAGGCGTGACGCATGGCTGGACTCAGGGCCGGCCCTAGACATTTTGGTGCCCTAGGCGAGATTATGATTTGGTGCCCATATATATCGCTCAATAATATATGTAACAGGCCTACAGTACACACTTTATTTGTAGGGTTAGGGTGTCAGTAGCTTATCTGACATATAAATGGTCAAAAATTGTACATTCTCCGTTAGCCTACGAGCTCCCCGTTCGAGCGAAGGACTATTCCTTCTCAATGTAGCATGACATTGGATATGCGCTTAACTTGTCCTGGATTGGAATTTTTTCGAACATTTCCCTAGGAGGAGTTTGCAAAAATGTGCTTAAAATGCATGAAAAACGAAAGATTTTGAAAATTGCAGACTTTCTGGGGGACGGGGCTAATGGAAGGCAATTTGAAATATGTCCAGATTCATAAGAGCAATGTATATACAGCGTTTCGTGAATATCGGTAAAACTGTATGCAAGTAGTTTGGATTAATTTGTGACATGTAAATCGTCAAAAATGGTGTATTCGCTGTTAGCTTACGACCTCCACGATTGAGCTATCAACATTTGGCTTCTCAATTTAGCATCATATTTGATAGGGGCTGAAGTTGTCCTGGATTGGAATTTTTCCGATCATTCCCCTAGGAGGAGTTCGCAAAAATGTGCTTAAAATGCATGAAAAACGCACATTTTTGAAAATGGCCGACTTCCTTGGGGGCGGGGCTAATGGAAGGCAATTTGAAATATGTCCGCAATTCCATGAGTATGTGCCAAAATTCGTGAAATTCTGAGAAACTATATGTGACTACCACACAATAGGGGGCGCTAGTGAGCAGTTTTTTTGAAAAATTACGTTTTATTTTTGTACATTCTCGAAAAGGTCGTGGGCTGTGACGTGTGTCCCAAGTTTTGCGTCCGAAGCTCATTTTATGCTGTCGCAATTTTAAAAAATTTTTATAGGCCACGCCCACATTCTGCATTTGTTGCGACACTTTAAATGTGTAAAAAGAAATTAAAAACATTCGTCCATCCGTTCTTGAGTTATAAATTGGTGGTGTTTTTGGCGCCCCCTATAGTCCAAAATGAAAATGCTTTGGTGTGCCTATTCCCCAAGACAGACTGAAGCTATCCACCAAAATCTGTGATATATGGATACATTGTTGATGAGTTATGAGCATTTCTTTCTAAGCCCCATCTTTTTGCAAACACGTTTTGATTAATGGCGGCCATATTTATCGACTGAACATGCTCATCTCCTAGGGCAGGAGTCGGCAACCCGCGGCTCTTAAGCCCTCTGCTCTGGCTCCCTTGAACTTAGACAAAAATAAGAAGGAAATAAAATAAAAGTATTTGTAGGACTATTTATATTTTGTTGCATGGTTGAAAATGTTTCGTATCTTGTATTTTGAGGTGATACTGTGACACATAAATAAAAAACAAAACGGTTTTAATTAGGTCAACTAAAATATGCGTCACATCCTGCTACGGTCCCGCGCCAGCGCCAAATATGAACTTTAAACATCCATGACTTAAACATATAATCCAGGATACAAGCCACATAGTTGCACCTGCAAGGTGAATATATAACAACTGGTTAAAAAATAAATAAACTAGGCTACCGAGTGTTTGAATGCGTACACCAGTTTTATGATATCACTGCCCCATAAGACACGAGTGGATCTGACTTTAATTACATTTGAGTTTAGTGTTTCGTCAACCTAATGTGTTGCTTAAAATAATACTTCTGCATACAGTATATGTGACAATGTAAGTGTTGCACGGCCAGATACGGCTCGAGAAGCTGACTCAGATAAGGAAATATTGTGATATTATATGATCGATGATCTGATTGATGATGTGATATGAATGATAAGTGCGACATGTCGGCGTCTTCTCTGCATAGGCTACGGCAGTTTAAACTGTATTTCCTTTATCCTGTAATATGACTTGATAGATTTAAACTTCGCACACTGAGCTCTAATTGGTCAGCAGGCAGTGCTTTCACTGAGTTGATCTCTTTTCTATAGACGCCGGAGGCGGGCAGCGTCAGGTAAAAAAAAGTTATTTAGCCTTCCCAAACCTGAGCCTCACGCGCCACCTGGTTTAAGGGATAATTCTCACCTAAAGAGGGCGGACACTCCTCAGATGTCTTAAACACATGGGACATCGTAAAACAGTAAACACACAAACATACAGTACTATTTGTTATTAGTTATTGGAAATCAGCTGTTTATTAGGCTGCATTTATGCAGTTCAAGGGATAATTCTCACCCACCTCTTGCTCTTGCCCTGCTCTTGTATGTGCCAGTTGAGCTGGTTCTTCCACCAGCTCAACTCTGTCCCTCATCATGAACGCAGGAGGCTGGCTGTATATCTGAACTCGCGCCCTCATCATTCTCTTCATCATCTTGCACTTGTTCTAAGCTGCTGATGATAGTGCTTGTGGCAGCGCTGCTGCCAAAAAGGTCTATCAATTTGCGACATTTATATGCTTCACCTGCGAGTGACATTTTTCCTCTTGCCTTCTCGCCCACACCGTTTTCTTTGATTTGTATCTATGTTTTTCATTCTCCCTGTCTCGGCGTCTAATCCCTTCTCTTCGTGTGGCTGGTCTTTTTTCTTCTTCGTGTGTGATTATTTGACAGATAAGAACCACACAACTGCATTAGCGGCCGCTGTCGCCCTCTGTCGGCCGTCAGCGCAACTTAAAAGATGACGTTAAATAAAAAATATATAAAGGGCCGGCCGGCCGTCAACGGCCCTTGACGACCGGCCGTTCTGTGGTTCTCCAGATTCTACAGATGGCCAGTCCGCCCCTGCATCCAGTTATTTTAGCCGGGCCGGCTAAAATGATTGGTCGTGCTTTTTACAGTACTACGGCTTCCACAGATGAAATTTTTTTATGGATTTTTTGTCAAAGCACTTAAGATATTCATTGCTATCGGGATGTTAAGAGCATTCCATGGAATATAACAAAAAGTGTATCTCGAGCCGGTTTCTCAAACTTACCTACCCCACCTTTAAGTGAATATTTCACTCTTTTGAACATTATGCTAATTAAAATAAAATAAAAGTAGGCGGAGCTTAACAGTCCAAGAGGATCATTTGTAGAGCAGGTCGAGACGGATAAGTGTGCAAAATGTCAGGTTATTCGGAGTTTAGGTGCGACTTTGTACATTTTTCTGAAATGGGATTTTCATAGGTGGCGCTAGCGAGCAGGTTGAATAATTTGAACCCATTGACTCCAGAATATTGAATTTTTCACCGGTCCTGGCGTCCGTGCAAAATTATACAACTTTTGAAGCGTCCTAAAGCGCTCAAAAAGAGGAAACGCCAGCAGAAAAATAATAATAATAATCCCTCCAATAACAATAGGTTCCTCGCACTTCGTGCTAGGATGCCATTGGGTCCTAGCGCTCCGTGCTCGGGCCCTAATAAAGTGACACTCGTACCCCTTTTTCACCAAAGCGGTTTCAGGGCCAGATGGGAGCCAGTAACCTATTCGCATTTGGAACCAAAAAACATTTGTGGTTCGACAGACACATCTGACCTTTGTTTCATCAAGGGAGGGGGGAGATATTATACTGGGCCCGTTATAAGAGTATCATACCTTGGCTCTGATGGCCTGCTCTGCTTCCAGTTCATCTTCCAGCTCCTCAATGCGAGCCTATAGAGAGAGAAAAAAGGTTTGTTTTGAAACTGTCTGTCTACATGTGTAATACTACTAGGATATCAGAAGGCGTATGGGTATCCTCTGGCCGAACAGGGCCTCTATCCATCTGACTGTTTGCTATTAATATTATATTGCTATTGCTATTTCACTGTGTGGTTGTTGGGCAGTTTCAAATATTCTGCTTTTACTAGCAATTTGTCACGCCTCTCGTTTTTTCCTCAGGTAGCAATTAAGAGCAGGAATGTCCATAGCCACCATCATTATCTGTAGTCTAAGTAAATCTGCTATGTCCCGGCAGAAAGACGAATCAGTGCCATTTCCCTTACATTTGTGTTTGGTTAGCTGAACCCTTGTCCTGGCTGGAAGTATATGAAGCTTTTTGCCAAGCAACATTAAGGACTCAACATGCAATGCAGTTGTTAAATTATTGTCATTTCATCCAATTCTTTAAACACTAGTCTGTGTAATGTACTGTATTTCTTTTGTGTTTTATGTTCTACTGTATGTGGTGCTACTATCATGAACACTGCTATGAAGGAGATTGTAGTCCCAGTAAGGCCATTCTGTATCCTGCTTTAATTCTATACAAATCACAAACATCAAAAAGGTTTACCTATATTTTAGCAATGCAAAAAATGGTTGTTCATGTGATAATACATATAATGTACGAGTATGTTTGACCACCTTTAAAGGTCCCATGTCATGGCCATTTCTACTGATCATAATTCCATTGTTGAGGTCTACTAGAATAGATTTACATTGTGCAATTTTCCAAACTTACATTGGTTTCTCATACAGCATCTCTGTATAGTATGTGTATTCACTCTCTGTCCTAAACGGCTTGTTGGAGCTTCTGCCAATTATTTTTGGGAGAATAAACCCCACAGATCCTCAACTCCGGTGTGTCTCACTCATTAACAACGCAACACAGAGCAACAAGAATGTTGTCTACAGTAGCCATGAACTTTCATGTATTTTCTTATTTGAGGGGGTGGATGCGTGGGCCACCCGAATAGGTTAAGGGGCCTTTGGCTTTTCTTGCCGGTGCGGTGCCCCCACAAATAGAATCAAATTCTGTGGGAAACACTGGAGCTGGCTTACTGGTGTGGTTTCCTGGTTGCTGCGAGACAGCGAGACATCGCAAATGGACGCGGGAAAGGGGGGGTGATGAGGTGGCAGCAGCACCCCCATCTGCGAGGCTCCACTAGCACCCGCTTTTGGTTCAACCCAACTGAACTGTACAACTTAACATTTTCCAAATTGTTATGAAAGGGAAAAATGCAAAAGAAAGTGGTTTGCAGAAAGACAGCAAACTTGACCTGGTTTTGCCAAATAATGACTGGCAGTGAAGTTGGAAGTCATCATGTTGAATTGTTGAACAGCACAATTCCTTGATGTAATTTTCTGTAGTCCATTTTCAATGTTGAAATAATTGATTACACACTGATTTTTGGTAACAGTTGTTATTGTATAATGAGTTATAAAGCTGTACACAATTAAAGTAATAGTAACACATTAATAAACGTTTTTAAATGCCATGTTATCTCCTTACAGACAATATTTTATCGATATAAAGCATCAATTGCATATAAATCCCAGATAGTAAGTAAGGGATAATGTGCAGCAAGGCTATAAAGTATGATACATTGGTTAGGCTTTAAAAGTATTTTAAATGGGCTGTAATGTATATAGACCAGCTACAACAATTAAGAAATGCATAAAATTAAAGCATTAGTAATAATATTGTCATTTCTTATGTGCATTTCCAATGCATGGCTTCTACTAGTATTGGAATCTTTTGACATAATGGTACTACACAATTAGAAAAATAATGTGAATAGTTAATCCTCCAGAATATCCATATAAATGTTATTTTTGATGGGATTTTGCTCCAACATTCAAAACAATGACAATAATCTAACAATAATAAATCATATTATATTTCTGTTCCCCTTATCTTGTTCCTGTGTTTTGTACTGCTGATTAAAATGATGGATGGTTTTCACACATGGCTGAATCTTTCCAAGTTGTGTCATGTTCCCGTAATCTGCAGCTCCTATCTGTGTTTCAGTGTCAGGAAATCTGTCTGGCATAGTGTGTAGCCCGGGGCCATCCACAGCAACACCTACCCTCACCGATGGAGCCTCTCAGCGCCTACACACTTCCCAAGGGTCCCAAAACATCACACTGTTACACATATAGTGCAAAATGTAAAGAGATGTATAGAGCAAAACGTAATGAGGGATTCTCTTGCCGTTGTACAGTATATGATGTGTTAATAATGTAAATACAGTTGGTGTAATTCTCAGGAATGTCCAAAAACTTGGGTCAGACATATCCTAGCTTAATACTAAAACCTAACTTAACCCAATTTCCAACAGTTTAAAAAAAAAAGTTAAGCTTAAACTGAAATACATAAAGTAAAATGGAAACTTACATGCCAGCGCAGGACCTCTGCAGAGAGAACAGCCATGGTTAGGGAGCAGCAGCTCAACTGACTGAATGACTGTCCCACACACACAATCCACCCACACACAGCCCACACACCCCCCACCCCCACACACACACACACACAGCTTCACCGTAGATCCCCTCTGGCGTTTTCCTCTCCATACCCCCTTATGACAACACAGTCTCACTCCCTGATAGTCCAATAGTGACGCTTGGTCAGGGTCCTTTGGCGTGCAGTTGTGACGCACCGAGTCTCCTTCAGCTTCATAAATCGACGCAAAGAGCTTTCAACTGATTGCAATGTATTCCCATCGGCGGTGGTATTTGACGCTCAGGGAAGCACAAGCATTCCCATTGGATAACGGATAATTTTACACCCGGAAGTAAGTATTCTCCTTACTGTCGATTGATTTTACAGTGATATCTGCACTACTCATCAACTCAAAAACACCAGATTATCCTTGTTAATTACACAACATTGATTGGTTTAAATTGTGTACAATGCTTTTGTATTTTTCCCCTTCGATTCGGAGAAACAAATATTTTTTCCGAGTTTAGGATGGCAGAAAACACTACACTACCCATAATCCTCAGCTATCGTTTAGGACTACACTAGCCGCTTTGCTTGACAAACCCCCGTTTGTATTGTTATTGTTACAATGTATACACAAATAGTGTTGGAGCAGTGTTGGGATAGGGTATATTTAGTGCGAATGCTGTTTACAGCATTCCACTATAGTTCTTCGAATCTTTATTAGTGCGAATGCTGTTTACAGCATTCCACTATAGTTCTTCGATTTTTTTATTCTTCTTATTTCAGCCAATACTTTGGCTCTCCATAACTTCAGCTTACTTTCAGCTACAGAAACCATTCAAATATTAAACTATTCAGCCTTTTCAGGAATCGATGGGAAACCTTCAACTTTTTAAAAATATGTTATACTTTTTGAAATATTCAGCTTTTTAACCTGTTAAGCACCAAGCCTGTTTTTCATGTTTCAGGCTCGAAAATGACATGCCCAAAACAAATGACTACAAGTTAACTTCTAAAAGGGTTATATGAATAATTTCTTTTATCAAAGCAAGGTTACATCTGTGAGTTGGATGTAGAAGTGTCAGAATCAATATAGATGTTTTTTATTTTAAAGAAAATTCAGATTTTACATAGTAAAAAACTGTAAATTATAGTGTCCGTCCAAAGATTATGTTTTACAGATAGTGAAAACTACCCTTGGATGATGGGTTAGTAGACTAAAAGCTTTAGGAATCCAAAGTACAACATATAATAAGTACCGTGCAAAACAAGTGACATTTGATCTTTTTAGAGAGGTTTAGCCAAAACCACCCCACCTCTGAGGTGATTTGGGTGAAAATGTTTTTTTTTCCATATCTCTGGCCCCCCTTGGTCGATTTGGATGGTTGACACCTCTTTCTGACCGTTAGAGCCAATAGAATCGAATGGGGAGGCCCCCACACACGCACGTTGTGAAGAGAAAAGGTGGGGGCTGCGCGCATGTAAATGTGCAGCAGAGTGGACCTATCTCTAGCTCTGGCATTTGGAAACGAAAAAGCAGTTTTATTGCTTATGGATTATCAGAAATAATTTCAAAGAGGACACAGATACATTGGATTAACCTATGGATTAACTGCAGCATCGTTTTTTTATCGTTTTAATGCCATTGAAGACCAGTTTTGACCAAGGTAAGCCATGTTAGCGTTTCTAGCTACCTAGCTCCACATGTTATGATGTACGCTTTCGTTTATAGCGTCGCAAATGTTTATCACTGAGTGTTGAGGTGGGCACCAAACGATTCTGTGTCTCTAGGAGACCCAAAACGAGTGGTTGGCTGTGCATCTAGGATAAGTAATAAGGGAGTTATTGTGAGTTTAAGTGCCGTTTTAGGTTACATTTTTTCGCTCGTGGCTAATTCAGAGGCTGAGTGTTAGCATTGTGGGGGTTTTTTGGGGAAAAAAATTAAAAAGATCAGTTAGCTGAGTTTCTTCCCGTTACATGGATATAAAACATTCATAGTTTATTAAATATTAAGATTCCTTAGACGTTGTTTCCTGCAAATGACGCGTTTATCCGCCCGGTACTGGGGGGGCGGGGCGTAACAGGTTAAACTATTTTTTTAACATGGAAGTCAATGGGACGACTCTTCAAATCCTCTTTTCCTACACCTTACGCCAAATGCTTCTCCTTCCACATACTTTCAGCTAGAAACTTCATTCCAACTTTAAAATAATCACAAGACCTTCAGCTATTCAAAAATGATTCAGATTTTTGATATCTTTTACACTTTTTGAGATATTTAACTTAGTTTGGAGCTTGGTAGAGGGGCTTTCTTCAGATTTTAACATTAGTGTGTATTGAGCAGCTCGTTAAGTCTAGAGTGCTTTGATCTCAAAACAGAGTGGAAGAGTGCTTGAAATTTGGACGCATTTTCTGCAGGAAATGCATTTTCTATTTCAAGTATACTACGCCATCGAGTGGCGCCGAAGGACTGTTTAAATGCATGTTAAATGCCCAGCATTCGGCGCCACTCGATGACGTAGTATACTTGAAATAGTGGCTCTGCAGCAGGTATACTCGACATTGAGAAACGGCCTGTGTGTGGCGGTTTGTCAGTTGGTCTACTACGTCGTCACCACTGCGTGCGCATGCAGCTTGCGTCTTTGTAACGGTCCGAGAGGTGGATTGATTCTAGTTAAACTCCGTCTATAAAAGTGTTTATAAAAGTTGTAATTTGTGATTTTAAATGTTTCAAATGGTGTCATCTCGTTCTTCCCCTTATTATTATTATTAGTGTGAATGCTGTGCCACAGCATTCCACTATAGTACTTCAAATCTTTATTCTTCTTATTTCAGCCAATACTTTGGCTCTCCATAACTTCAGCTTATCTTCAGCTACAGAAACCATTCAAATATTAAACTATTCAGCCTTTTCAGGAATCGATGGGAAACCTTCAACTTTTTAAAAATATTTTATACTTTTATAAACATGGAAGTCAATGGGAGATGCCTTCAAATCCTCTTTTCCTACGCCTTGCGCCAAATGCTACTCCTTCCACATACTTTCAGCTAGACACTTCATTCCAACTTTAAAATGATCACAAGACCTTCAGCTATTCAATTCCTATTCAGCTTTTTGATATCTTTTACACTTTTTGAGATATTTAACTTAGTTTGGAGCTTGGTATAGAGGCCTTTTTCAGATTTTAACATTAGTGTGGATGGAGCAGCTCGTTAAGTCTAGAGTGCTTTGATCTCAAAACAGAGTGCAGGAGTGCTTGAAATTCTCCCCAAAAAATGTTTTAAACTTGCCATAATTCCCAAACCCTACACTCCTCAGACATATTTTTTCATGAAAAACGTAGGAAAACCTCTCCTAGGTTGGAAAATAAAAAAGAATTAAGAAAAAATATTAAACAAAATGCCTCTTGAGGGCATGAAGAGACAAAAAGTCCACCTAGCTCCCAATTGATTCCCATGTTAAATTTTTCCGGATCTTTCTTCAGAGCAGAGAGAAGTACACTTTAGACAAACTGCTCCCATCTCCACATTTTACACACAAAACCAAAAAAACAAACATGTTCATTGGGGTTCCCTGATGCTCACGGTCTGGTAATTTTTTTATAGGAGCCATAGTTTTTGAACAGGTGGCAAAATCGTCAGATATGATCCTCAATGCATTCCTAGAAAATGCATTTCCTGCAGAAAATGCATGCGAATGCTGTAAACTGTGAACATTTGTGGCTGAATTTAGCTGAAAATGCAGAAAAAGCTGAATATGTTATTAGCTGAATGGTAGCTGCTTTTAGCTAGAAAAATGCAGAAAAAGCTTAATATTTAAAAGAAAAGGTTTAAAAAAAGGTATGAACAACAACATGTATAGCCTTGATGTCCTGAAATAGCTGAATAATGTAATAGTTGAATGGTTTCTGCAGCTGAAAATAGGCTGAAGGAGTTAAATATCAGATGTAAGTAGTAGTGAATTAATATGTATTAAGATGAGAAAAGAAAGTAAAAAGGCTTGGGAAAGCAGCAGAATATTTGAACTGCAAACTTTTGAACTAACTTGATGGTGAATTATCTGTCGCCATGGCAACGGCATTTGAGGACACCCCATAATACGCTTAGATGTGTTGATGGCTGCATCGTTACCAAACCTGTGAAGTATTGGGCCATTTCGAGCATTTTCACTGAAAGGGGACCTATCATGCAAAATGCACTTTTGTATGTCTTTTATACATGCATATGTGTCCCCGGTGTTCCAGGGAACTCGCCAAGTGTCAGAAAACACAACCCTCTCTATTTTCCTCCATACCCAAATCTCTAAAAAAGGGGCTGCAACGGATCTGATAAAAACTGATCCAGATTTGAACACTGTCCTGACGTCAGGACAGTGGCGCTACGGCTATTGGGCCAACTCCACCAATCAGGAGGAGACAGCCACGGCCATTGCCGTTCGAAAGCGCTGGAGACGCTGTAGTACATATGCCAGGCCTGTAGATGGTGCTGTTCTCACAGAATCTGCCCTTGCAAAAACAGAGCTAAAAAATGTCAAATTGAGCAAAATGAGGCATGGTTAAAATGCATGATCTGTTTGGTATTTTGAAAAAAAAAAAGTATAAATATGCCTTATACAGATAGAGCGTCTTATTTTGGACAGTTTGAAACGCGAGGGTCGTGATTGGTCCGTGATTGGTCCGTGATCGGCCCGTGATGAAGAGCCAGCCCCCAGTCTGACTTGATACCGCCCCCGTGATAAATACATTTAATTATTGTGAAGCCAGCTGCAATGGATCATTGATCCACCAGGGGGTGCAGTGGGGTTCCACACTGGAGTCATGTGAAATCAACTTCGACACAGTAAGCTGGATGTACAGTATGTCTGGTACTAATGTATAGCGGATCTTTGTTAAGATCCATATGTCACGGATAGGATCATAGTCTGTGCTAAATAAGACATGTAATCATTTACAAAACATCACCATGTTGTTATTTAACAAAATAATGTTGTTTAGTCGGAAAAAACGAACGAGAGGAAATGGCCGGCTCTCGATTTTT